CGTCGTGCAGCACCTGCTGAGCCGGACGCTGCTGCTAGCTGCGGCCGAGGGTGCCGCGGGCGGCACCGGTGGCTCAGGGGACGCGGGGGGTGCCGGCAGCGCGGGGGGAGCCCGCACTGCGCTCAGCGACGCCGAACTGGGCCGCTGGGCCGAACTATTGTCTCCCCTGGACGAGTCCCGCGCCAGCATCACCTCAGTCACTAGCTTCTCCCCGGATGATGTGACTTCCCCGCAGGGTGACTGGACCGTGGTAGAGGTGGAGACCTTCCACTGAGTCAGACCCTAGCCTCGCCCACCCGCCCCAACCCTGCCTTAGGATCCGTCCCTCAGGTTGTACATCTTTGTCTTAGATCTCCCCCTCGCCTCCTCCTGGAGTCCGGCTCCCTGTGGATTGGTCTCAGACCCCTTAGAGCCCTAGAATTTTGGCCCAGGCTTGCGACCCACCCACACCTTTGGCCAAGGCTCACCCTTGAGCCCCATCCCTTTGGCTTAGGACAAGCTCCTGCTCCCCTCAAGCCTCGTCCCTCCCTCGGCCTAGGCCCTGCCCGGAGTCCAGTGTATCGTCTACCGCTCGCAGCCCGAGTTTGCAATAAAGCCGGGACACTGAAGCCTGTTCACTTTCGCCTTCGCGGTCGCGGGCTGGGGCCCTCCAGCGGCGCAGCTGACCGAAGGGCGGCGAGAGGGGCCAGGCCGTGCTGTGCTGGCAGCTGTGCACAGCAGGTGGTAGCTCTGGTTGAAGGCCTTCCCGAACACTCCCCGGCCTTGCGTCTTCTCCACTGAGGATAGGGGCGCGCGAGGAGGGGCTGGGGTGGGACCAGGCGATGCCGAGTACCCGTGGTGCAGCATCGCGCACCCACCCGCGTTCATGAACGTAGGTTTTCTCATGCCCAATTTCTCATGGAAAAATTAGGTGCAGGTGGGGCCGCGCGACCGAGTGAGCAAGGCGTGGGCCGTGTGGCTAGTTGACCAAGCTCTTCCCACGCTCGGCCAGGGGAGTGCGCACTCCTGGGGGGAGGGGAAAGACGTGGGAAAGGCTTGCTTGGATCCAAGGAGAGGGTGGGTGGGGGCCCTTCCTGAGGTCCCTCCTCACAGTGTGCACCGCCCTGCTTTGCACACCCTGGGGTGTAGGAGGGAGACAGGTGGCCTGAGACCCATGGCCATCTCGGGTCCCTCCAGGGCCTCTCAAGCGCGCACACTGCCCTCTGCTCACCGAGGAGGCTGCAGTGCAAAAGGTGGGCCTGCAGCTGGGTCCAGGGCTCATGAAGGGCATTCCCTGCCTCCTGGGTGGACTGCACTAGGAGGGCCTGCAGGGAAGGAGCAGCCTCTCCCAAGGCTGGGTGGGAGATCAGGGAGTCCTCACAATGCCCACTCCTCTCTAGGTGCCCTCATCATGACCCTCTGTGCCTCCCAACCATGGGCCTCGCCTTTCATCCCAACTTCGGGCATCTTCCCCAAGCCCCTCCAGCAAGGCATTCTTGCCTGTGTCCCAGAGTCAAGGGTCCTCACCAGAGCCAACCAATGTCTTCACTTGTCTCCCCCAGTCAGAATTCCTTGCCCTCCCACAGTCCAGTCACCCTGACCCTGGACCCTTTAAGCCCCAGCCCAGGCTCTCCTTTCCAAGTGCCCCTGCCAGAAATGCACCCCTTACGCCTTCCCTCCCTGAGGGTGTCCTGCTTCATACCAAGAATGATGGAGGCCCGAGGGGAACCACAATCCCCGGGGCAGGTAGAAGGACAGAGTGGGACCCTGTGTTGGGCCCTCAGCCCTATCTCTGCTCCTAGACCCAGTCCCTGAAGCCAGGTTCCTGTCAGACAGGAATCACCAAGTCCTGCCTGTCCCCCACCCCAGAAGCGGCTGCCTCCCAACCTTGGGTCTGAAGAGACACTGGCGCTGTTGCAGTGGGACACTGCCACCTCCATCCCTGGGAGCCAATCAGTTAGGTGGCAAACTACAGAAGTTCCTTTTTTTTTGGCCACACCTAGTGGCATGTGGGATCTTAGTTCTCCTGACCAGGGATCGAACCCATGCACCCTGCATTGGAAGTGCAGAGTCTTAACCATTGGACTGCCAGGGAAGTCCACAGAGGTCTCTTTTTTAAGCTGGGCCCTGGTGAGAACCCAGGTGTCCTTGTTTCCAGATGCTGAGACAAGCCCAAGGGTAGGGGCTGACTCTTGACATGCTGGGCAGCCAGGGCTCCAAGGCCAGCCCCTGTAAGGGAGCAGGGCAGAACCTCAGACACTTCCCCCAAGGCCCTGCCCCCTCCTGGGAGCCAGCCAGCTGGAGCCACCAGCTACCCGGTGGCAGCAGGAGAGGCGGACAGCAACTGTCAGGGTCTCTGTTAAGTCTGTGTGATGGGAATGATGCATGGGCCCACAGCTGTCGTGGGAGGGAATAGAGCTGGGATTTGGCTGTTCTCGCGCATAACCAGTGTCCTGCCCTGCCACTTGGCAGGTATCAGGCAGCAGAGTGGGGGACACTTGGTGGGTCTACACTGGGTGTAGAGGGTAGGGCCTGGCTGGCACCTGGCTGGACCCAATTAAATGTCTCCTCCTAGAAAGCCTTCCTTTGCCATTCCTGGCTGTGTCACCCCTGTGTTAACTGGGACTCTGCCTCAGCTCCATGGGCCACCCCACAAAGGATGCTGCCTCTCCGGACCTTCTTCCCCCAGGGGAACCCCCACTGCCTGGCTGTTTTACCTCTGCACTGCCCCCCAATACTGTAGTCTACCTGATGGTGCCCCTCTCACCTAAGCCCTCCATGGCTCCCCAGCGCCCTTAGCTCATAGTGCAAACTCTTTCTCCTGACTAGAAAAACCCCTTCCCGGTCTGGCCACGCCCACTCTCTCCTGTTCCTTCTTCACAGACCTCATGTGCCTCCTGCTGGTCCCTGCCACGTCTCACCGTTATGCTTATGCCCTTGCAGATCCCCCCCCCCCCCCCTCCAGGAAGCCTTCCCTGATCTCACACATTCATCTAGGCACTTGCCACACTACTGTGCAGGCTAAGTTCCCGCCCCCACCCCAATGTCTGTCTGCTCCACTACACTTGGGACCCCTCAGAACCAGGCACAGTGGAGCACCCGGAAGGCCTTGGGAAGTGGGTGCTGAATAAACCAGATACTGAATCTTCCTGAGGCCCTAAGACCCTTCATTCCTCTGTGTCTCTCAGGGGAGGCCCCAGCTGAGTCACCCAGGTGGGAAATCATGGCCCATCCTCCCTCCCCATCTCCAGAGACACCCTCCTGAAAATGCCCTGCTCTAAGGGTCTGTCTGTACACCTGACGTCCCAGGTCCTTGGTGACTCGTTCCTACAATACTAACCGTCTCTTCCGACGCCCACACTTATGCTCACACTGTACGTGTGAATGTCCTTTCCTCTTCCATGCTGCACCGGACCTGGACAGCCTCTTTGCCCCCCCGCCCCCCACTGGCCTGCTATGACCTCCACCTCTGGTTCTCTTAGATGGTGGGAGGCTCCCAAGGGCAAGGACAGCCTGCTCCCTTCCCCGCTGCTTCACTGGACAAGGGGCCGGGGACCCATGGCTGCTGGTGATACCCCTACTCCAAGGCCTGCCCCACTCAGCATCCCTGGTCCATGACTGTGTAAATACACTTTATTTTCCATCTTTCCCACCTGGGCGACATGTGGAGTGTGAACAGGCAGTGTGCAAAATGGTGGTGGGCAGTGTGGGGCGCACGTGGGAGAGCCCCTCGGACGCCCACCCTGGTCCCCAGGCTTTGTAACACTGAGGAGTGGGCGACCGGGAAGGGGGTATTGAGCATGGATCCCCACCCCAGGAAGTGCCAGGGAGACTGCTTGTGATGCTGCTCTAGGCTCCAGGAGCACCGAGAGGGTCAGCCTGAGGGTCGTGAGGCCCCAGGGGGCAGGGGTCTGGGGGCATCGTTGGATTTTGGCACCGTTCTTGATTCTGACTCAGCAGAGACCACGGGACCACCATGAGCAGGTGCGGGGAGGCAACTCAACTGGGAGGCCTCCTTCCCCGGGGCCTAGCTCTGGCCAGAGAGTGGGGCCGGGGATACTGAGAAGGAACGGAAGTGGAGGCTGGGGACCCCCTGGAGAGGAGGCTAGCCTGGGTCTGGGAGCCCCTTCATCACTGGCCAGGCTGGGGTGATGGGACTGTCACAGAGAAAGATGCGGTGTGCTGGGGAGAAGGGGGGGGGGTCTCTTCACTTCCTTACAGCTGCTCTGGCCCCCAAGAAGCAGAGACAGACACTACCCAGGCCCTGGCTGGTTCCGGCTGGCCACTCGCACCCTGCGCGGCCCTGCACACAGTAGGGGGGGCTTTGGTTTCTGTCGCAGGGGCCACAATGCCTGCCCCAGGCAGGAAAACCCAGCCTGGCCATCTGTCCCCAGAGGCCAAGGGTCCCAAGGGTGGTATGGGGTGGTAACGACAGGCCTAGAGCGGCCTCTTCTTCCTCAGGCCTCCTCTAGCTCCTGGGTCCTTCCCAGCCGGGCCACCCTTGTCCCAGAAGGAGGCCACCTAGGAGGGGGGAGGTTCCTGCTCCTCCAGTCCTGGGACTCCTGGGTCCGCCCCTGCCCTGGCTGTTAAGAGGGGCAGACCCTCCAGGTAACTGGGCCCAGAGGGCTACGGACCAAGATGGGTAAACACTGCTGGGGAGAGTGGGCGTGCCAGGGGACTCAGGATCCCCAGACTTCGGTCCTACCCTCCGCGCCCTGCCGCGCTGGTCCTGGCCCTCGGGGTGGGCGGGACCACCGAGGGCCTGGAGTTTGTTAAGTGCGGGCGGCGGCCAAGGAGCGGACAGGCGGCGGCCCCGGGCTCCGAGCACGCGGGGGACTGCCTCAGTTGTCCAGGCCCTGGCTGTATGGCGCGGCCAGCTCGTCGGCATCGCTGTCTGAGCTGCCCTCACTGTCCTTGGCCGGCCGCTCCAGACGGCGGAAGAAGCGCGCGTCGCGCGGGGACAGCGGGTAGAGCGCGTCCTGCAGCGCCGCGCCCACGCCCACGCCGAGCAGCTCCTCGTCCGACGACGGCAGCGAGTCCTCATCCAGGTGCCGCGCCAGGCCGAGCCCGTCGAAGGCCAGTGGGTCCTCGAAGGGCGGCGGGCCCTTCAGAAGCCGCACCTGGGGCGGAGGACCCGCGCGCTGGAGGCGTGGACCGACGTACCCACGGACTGAGTCCGGCCGCCGGGCCCCCTCCTCTCCCGCTCCCCGAGGCGCCGACTCCCGGCCCGTCACCGGCCGAGGACACCGGGGCTCTTAGGCCCCTCCCGCTCTCACCTCGGCTTTCAGCTCCTCGATCTGGTCCTTGAGCTCGCGAATGTACTGCGACGAGTCCGAGTGGTTCAGCTGGCCCTGGATGCGGCCCTCCTCCCTCTGCGGGCGGGCCAGGTCGCCGGACTTCAGCGCGGGGTCCCGACCCGCAGCCCGGCTCCAGCCCCGGCCCCGCCGCTTACCTGGATTTCCAGCTCGGCGATGCGCTGCCGCATCTCGGCCACCGCCGCCATGCTGTCCGCCTCCCTCAGGCGCACGGCCATCACCTCCTCCTTGCTCTGGGGGCGGGGGGACAAGCGGTCAAGGGGCGCGGCGGGACGGGCGGGGGCGCGGTGGGGGGGGGGTGCGGC